TTAAATATAACAACAATAGTAAAGATAATAAGAACAACCTAATCATTTCCTGCAAGTGAAAGTTTTATTCTTATGCTGCATCACTGACTGTACTAACAGCAGTATCTAGAAAAAAAAATTAAATGCTTAAATGAGACAGCATACAGAACCACATCATGGCCTTCAAATGCAAATAGTTCAAGAAATCCCCAGTGGCATTACACAGCATACATTCATTTGAGTCGTCAGTGATATCATCTTCACCTTTCCTTTAATCACTGCCTTTACTAGGCCTATCATAAGTGAAACAAATTATGTCATTTCCATAACATAGAGAATTTTAGCTGTTGAAAAACATCCTATGATTATGTATTTACACGTCCTGAATACCTACGTTCAAAGCTTCATTGTATACAAATTCTTTCATTACTGACACAAAAGCAAAGGAACTTTCATAAACACTAGCTCTGACCCACAATCAATCCTTAGAAACACAGAGGAAACTGAATACTCCAAATCTGCAATTCATGTTAATACAGTTATGGTTCCCTTAAGCCATGTAAAGTTTGCTGAAAAATGAATCAACAGAATTAGCTGTGGAAGTTATCAGGTTATTGAAGTTGTGTTTACAATTACTTCATATCAGTTAACTCCTTTGGTACTCCATCCACATTGTTGGAGATTTTTATATTCAGTTGAGAACATCATAATATATAAGAGAAATTTCAGATATGAAATACAAAGAATTAGACCTTATGATAACCAACCCACTACACAGTATTCTAAAACAATACATACATTACCAATACAGTCATCTGATGATACTGGCATCTATGAATAGCTTAGATCATGCACACGTCATTAAAAAAAAATTCACGAGTTCTTCTCTACCCATCAACAATAAACAAGTCCTATTAGCAAGAGAGACCACGGGAGATAAAAAGTATCATACAAGGTGAAACTATAGACTCTACAGAGTTTCAAGAATGAAAACCAGAAATCCCGTACAATGACCATCAGCCAAGATCAGATGTCTAAAGCTATCTCTGGCCCACTAGCAATGATGCAGTAGCCAATCTAGAGGCATACCATGGAAGAGAAAGTCTCAACATCTCACTACAATACAAGGAATAAGTATTAGCAAATGGTTGTGGTTCTGCTTGTCAAATATACTAATAGGAAAAATTTCCCTTTGCTGCTGATGTTGAGTGCACATGAAAACACAATTTATTTTCATATGTATAATAAAAAGAGGAAATATCTACAATAATGATCTCCTTTATGTTTTCATGTTATTCATCATTCATTCAATTAAACTGGCCAATTCTTTTTACCCTCTGACATCAATTCCAGAATCAGAGTGCCTGTCTAGTGTTGAACATAAGTATCGAAAACCTTGGCATGATCTAAGTTACCTATAGCCACTGATAATGTAAATATATCTGACAACTACATTGGTAATATATATCAAATGAACTGAAAGATACATTCAAAATCATTACTCCAACTGGTAAAGAAAATTAAATAACATGAAACAACGAAACTAAAACATTAAATGAATGTGACAAAATGGCATCAAGATTAACCATAACACTAATTCTCTTCCCTTATGACTTATACATACTGGTACTCTTTGCTTCTCCAAGGTTGTTAGATGAAGAGATTGATAAAATGTCAATAATAGACTGAAGAAGCAAAGAGTATACTTTATGCTAATAACATTCAATGAATAACAAATGCAGAATATAGAAGAAAAAAATCTAGTTACTGTATAATACATATTTATCATAATATACAGCTTTGGGTTTAATGTTATAACAATGTTAGTCTAATTTAGTTTCTTAATCATTCTAATGCTGTACTATGGCAAAGAACCTTTTACTCCTTGAAAAGACAGTTGTCTAAATTATAATATTATCCAATAAACAGCCTCATATCACTGAAATAGTCACATATAACCCATTACTATCCTTTTTATTGTACTTAACTTCTTCCAAAACCTATAATTATTCTCACATCCCCAATTGCCATAAAATCATAGGTATTTTTTCTGGAAAATGTCCTCTACAAAAAACTTTAATCAGTTCAGAACAGCAATGAAAATTTAAGTGATTTTGGTTATACTATCTACATCTAATATAATTTTTTGCATAATATATATATCTTTTGAAATTACTGACTTGAGAAAAAATATCTAGTCACAATTAGGAATCCAAGTTATGTAAACATCATACTTTTTTTTTTTTAGAAATTCATGTCAGTTCACATAACATCCAGAATACATGAGAATTATATATAACAGGCATTTTCCTTTGCAATTGCAACTAACACCTAAATATAATCAATTGTTGCAGGCTCTCTTCAAGATTATCCCCTAAAATTTACAATTGATTTCTTGACTAGTACCTTACTCAGTTTTTATAAAAAGCCCTCAATTTGCCTTCTAACTCTCCATTAGTATACATATGTATTACTTGTAATTCCTCGTCCATTATGCATAAAAAATAGAGATTGAGTACGAGATCTATTAGCTAGCTGTTTAAGCAATGTTTGGTTATGTGTTACATATTGGTTATAAAACATTTCAATATTTGTTAATATATAATATACAAAATACAAATAAACATAATAATGTAAACTCTTCTATGACATTAACATAACTATAATGGTAAAGTAATCTTTACATAGTGTCTCAACATTATTCAGTACCTATTACAAGACTGGGTAATTTTCAGTTCCACAACTCTATCTTAAAAAGTAATCAGGTGAAAGATATTTTCATCCCACCAATAAAATTGAACAAACAGCACATACTGGAATAACTCTGAAGTAGAATTTACAAAACATGCTCACCAGCTTCCCCTTTTCTTCATTTTATCATATGATGTGCATGTAAAGATTGCACATGATAAATTGTCAAGCTGCACAATTTATATCATGAACATGATATACAAGCTAATCTGATTTGCTACATCTTACCTCTGCCATTAAAATCTTGACTATTCCTAATTGTATCAAATCTGAAATCTACATCAATATCAGATATCTCAGTTATATTTTTTAGGTCACAAACAGAGTCATATAGAAAATGGTATGAAGTTTAACTATAGAGACAGCTAATATATCCATTAAGTATGTATCTCTTTATATATTAGCATTCAAACTGGCTTTTCTTCTCAAATTCATACTGACTGTAATCAGTCTAAACTACCATTAAGAAATTCCTGTGACCTTTGACTGAATACCTACGGTCTCAAAGCCAACTTGATAGTGGCACAATGTCAAGAAGCTGTCATGTAAAGTTGTCATGGCCTCCATACCTGTCAGAATTTGGCACCATACAGAGCCAGGGCTAGTTCCCTATTTGATGCTAAACTACAAGGAAGGTCTTCCAACTTCCACTGAGTTATGCTCCTAGAATAAAATAGATATATATTAAGATAAAAAAATTAGCAGCAACTCAATGGTTTGTTACATATGGGAATCATATGCTCTCGAGTATAAACCTCACTTTCTATGGGGTCATCGTCAATTACATGAAGCAAAACAAATTACAGTCAATAAACTGATATTCAACTGGCTATAGTAGGGCTAACTTTGAAAACATTCAAATAACAGAAAAAAATACTAAACAAAAAAACTTATGGTTGTGTGGAACTGAAAATTACACAACAATCTCTTTCAATGCAAATTAACACATAAAACATAGCAATAAAGTGCAATAAAAATTGTAAAAAATAAAACCATCGTCAGATACGAAAAAATATAATTCATACTTTCCTTTCAGCAGACTGCTTGTAACAGAATCTAAGGCTATTGAGTTTTCAATTCACAATCACAGGCCTTTCTGAACCTTTTGCGTCTTCACAGGGTGGTCAACTGAGTGTGCTTCCGCCTCCTCGAGTCAGTGAGTCCCCCTCAAGGCCGGCGGTGAGTCACAGGATTCCTCTGGGAAGTCCTCGGGAAAGACTAAAGGTTATCCAAGCAAATGGAAAAGGGGGATGGGCCAAGAGCCGCTCGCCCTAATACGCCTTCCCTCTTACCATTGGCACTAACAACAGGCGGTTTGACGATCCTCGGCGCCCTAGCGATGGCACTCACCTGCCAGTGTGCGACCGCCGCTGCTAAGAGAAATCCTATGGCCTTGGAGGGCGATTACAGGGAAACCGCAGGACTTGTGGAAAACAACATTCTAGCCAGCTGGTACATAAGCGCCGTGAATCTCGAGACGGCAAGGGGATCGGATTCTAAAATTAAAAAAAGACAATCTCTAAAGTCGTCTCCAAGAGTCTTTTATTGTCTCGAATCCTCTTTTACGAGAGGCAATGGACACTCCGATCCTCGCTAGACTTCATTGGATCCTCTTAAGGAAACTCTTTGCCATGCCGCTATGATTGAAGACCATATAAGGAAGATGAGAGAGTGTTCATTCATATTGTAGATGTAAAATGATGCTCCTATTGACTACAGAGTCATCTATTGATGAATTTTACAGCTACTAAAACAGAACTGAAAAACTACTATATTCTGCTGCCATTTCTATTAACTTTTATCTAGGTGATCGCTTCAATTTTAACATATGTTACTAGATGATAACCTAAAAGTTGCCGGCCCTTTTATGCATTTTAGAAGATATAGGAAGATCAATTCTTATTCATATCATCTTTAAATGTACCGGGTGGCAACCTTATATGACGTCACTAATGTTGCGAGAAAGTGACGTCACTGATATGGAGAGTGATGTCATCAATGCAGAGAGAAATGGCAGTATTAATGCAAAAAAATAAGTGGCGTCACCAATGTAGTGACAAAGTAACATACAGAGAAAATAACGCCACCAATCTAATGAGAAACCAAGAGCCAAGTACCCCCACAAACACCAGCACCAAATGATATCACGCCTATAAACAGCACGTGGCGTCACCAACGTAAACAGAGAGAAAACGGTTCTATCCTCCCAACGCCATCTATTGCTTATCCTTCAAACTAAACCCCCATCACAGCACCTCCCACAGCAACTCACAAAGCTTTCCCTTCCTCCCCGCCCAAATCTCCTATGATGGCCTGTCTTGTGTTGAGGAATTGTATCCGACGTTCAGACTCCCTCAGACTCCTACAGCTGACCCTCACCTCTTCGCGCAGGAGGCTTGTCAGACCTATCCAGCTGCCTTTGGTAATTTTAAAGACGTCTAGGAGGGGAGGGGAAAGACCAATAAAGGTGACATAGTGGTCTTTTTTCGGGACCTTTTTAAAAGCCTAGAGAATGCAAGGTCGTTTATTTTTCGCCGTGTGCTTCCTCGCGACGGTGAGCCTTTTCCTCTCTCTCTTCTCTTCTCTCTCCTTTATTTTTCTATCCGTGGAGTGTCACGAGGTGAGGCAAGGGCTGAGGAATACCTAGATACATAGTATTTAGGAAGAGCGTTTTATTATTTTGATTTTATTGCGCTGAAGAGAGTTACAGTGAGATTTGAGAGTGCCGGTGGTGTTGCACGGGACTGCAAATGCCATTAATACCGTTAATACCAGAATCCGTTGATTGGAATTGCATATGGTTTTAAAGGAAGTGGGTTGTAGAGATTGTTTGTTACAAATTAACCATAAAAACGGTTTTATTAATGACATGTGACACAATATTTCATACGTGGCATGCTGCAAACGGCATTTGACGTATGGCAGAACGAAGCACGTGCCGGTAAATGAAAGTTATTTCAGGATAATACTTATGCAATAAATGTTAGCAAAGTACTTTGTATGAAAGATTGTGTTGAGTATGTCAAATTTGCTGGAACACTGACTACATACTAATTATGAAAATATTGATTTCTGGGAGTGACATGTAAGGGTTGAAGGTGCAATTGCATATATCTTGCACATTAAACATATTATTTTCCATTTTTAGTACATAACAAACCAGAAAAATGCTGTTTTTTTCATTTTGGAGTCACAATAGGTTCTTTTGATAGTGGGACAAAATGGCAGTTGATTGCAAATACAGTTAGTTGATTGTAAATGTTATTGATTTTTGTAATTGAAATAGCAAATATGTTTTGAGTAGTTTTCTAGAACAAAGGCATATCTTGAAACCCATGAAATTTAGCTAAACAGTATATGCAATGGATAACACGGTCAGAACCAAGATCCTTTACATTTGTCATTTCCTGCACAAGAATAAAGGAGATACATGATAGAGAAGAGAGAAGGGTATTTGGTACAGAGAGCAATGCACCCTCCCAGAGACCAAGTTGAAAAAAAATTGTTTTTCTGCAGGAAATCTAGTGTTTCTTGTGTGAATGATTTGTTCAAGAGATTGAGCACCATTTTTCCATTGACAATCTTGATTTTTTAGTCCCGTTTGTAGAGGAGGGAATGAAGTATATCAGGGAAATTATGGTGTAAAACAGGTTTGAATAAGAAGAATGATGATAAAATATGCTAAAAAAACAAACAAACAAACTTAAAATCGGTCAATTAAACTATGGATGTAACCGCCATCTTTGATGTTCTACAGGCTGATGCACCAGAATTCAAAAACTTTACAGGACCCCCCCCATCCCCCCAAAAAAAGTACTGACCAATAAACCAGCCTAATATATCAATTTTAGTTGCTACAACTAGGTTTGCCCGAATAAGGGGAGGGTTGTTGGGGGGATCTACCCCCCAACACTCCCCAGGATACATTCTCTTCTCCTTGGTATGTATGGCATTCACAACGTAAATTGAATCAAATGCCTTTATATCTGGAAACTTCAAACTTTCTTTGCTTCTTTGTACCATCTGGATTACTTTGATTTTAATCACTTTTTTCATCACTTGGAGCTCTTGATAGGCTCAGATATTAAACTGGGAAGGTTACTAAAGTCTGATTTTTCTTCGTTGCCACTGTATAAGTTTTAGAAATAACCCAAAATCAACACAACACTGAAAAAACATTTCTCACTGGTGTTTTACCTTGAAATGAGCGGGCTGTTGAGGTTTCAACTTGTGTGAAAGTGCGAAATACTAGATGTCCACGATCCTAAACAAGGGTATAGATAAATTTTTAATTTCGCAAATAAAGTATAATAACACAAATAAAAAAACTTTAAAAGCAAAAAATTGTAAAAGCAGACACTGATAATTAGCCAAATATCGTTTTGACAAGCATGTAGTAGCACATAAACTAGTTTGGATATTGCAGTAATGAGTTCAGCAATCAGTGTTTTGTTATTCCTGGCAAGGTAGAGAAGTTGCTGGACGTAGAATTTGAGCAGCGACTGCATGTTATATTTTCGTCATCTAGCGGTGACTATAAGGCCACCACAGCTTAAACTATGTTCTATTCCACTCTATAAGATGGTGTCCATTTCCCTCTATCTATGTACAACGTCGTCTTCAACTTGTACCGAGAGAAGATTCCAATCTAGAATCGAGGGCCTTTTTGCCAAAGATCTTTTGCTACAGGTCTTTCGAAATGTACACTATTGTTTACTTTCCACCGTTAGCGTTGCTGGCATATTTTGCTGCATAGGTATTCAGTATTTGAAAACTGGCTTGGCGTATATCAATTTGGTATTGGCGTACATCTCTGACAGACAGGAATCACCAATTTCAGTAAGGAGAAGATTGATCCACCTTTTTCTAAGTCCCTCGCCATGTTTACATTGTGAGGATAAACACTACTTTAACCACATAACTCAGGACTGATCAAGGAGTGAGATATATTTACCTCATGGTGCCTCATGGTAGGGCGTGTCACTCAGACCTTTTGATCTTGCAAGTCGGTTGTGGTGGAGAATTTGCCTTCCAGACACGGGGTTGGATGGTTGTTTTAAACAGGTAAATAACCTTGTAACTTGTGTACTTATCGAGTCTTGTATTGTTTTTGCTGGCTAGCAGAGACTAAAATTTTTCAAAATGCACTCTAGATTTAAGGAGTTGAACAATGTCAGAATTGTTGGATTTTAAGAGTTGGGTTGGTTAAGAAAATATTTATTTTTTTATTTTATTTTATTTTTTATTTATTTATTTATTTTTATTGCTAGGCATTTTTACTAATGCCCACCCACCTAGTAAAGTTACCAATAAAAGACCGGTTAGAGGGGATGGAATGCTTCTAATTTTCTGAGATAGGGAATACTGTTTTTTTTTTATCTGTTAATAGTGGCTTGCCTACAGAAAAAAATAGTGTACATAACCTAAAGACCTTACAAGTATTGATTGAATAAAGTGGTGTGTGCCAAGGGTGTTTGTTCCTTGTGCAAATTTTTAAAGGTGATAAAAAGATTGGGATAATGTTGGATTCAAAATTGACTCAAGTTTTTGTTGTAGGTTTGCTCTAAAATAACTCATCGTTCTCTTACATATTTTATGGCTTGTGCCAACAAAACTCTTGTAAACATTTATTTTTTTAATATAAGATCTTACAAGATAAAGTAACTATTGAATCAGTTTGTGTCTTACGACACTTGAGATATAGTATAGATGGATTCCTCGTTATATTTTGTGCATTTATGGGAGGTCTTAGGTGGCTAGCACAAATGTAAACAATACAAGACTGGATAAGTGGGAAGAATATGAATCATCAGTTGGCATGGCATGAGACACTATTGGGAAATGGTAGATTATACAGTATTTATGTCATTGTTTGGGGCTGCTCCCCCTAGAACCTCAGTCTAAGGGAGGCTGCTGCAGACTCTCCATTTTATCTTGCTGGGAGTATAGAGCCCAGACAGGCATTGTGAGTTTAGGTAGTCTCCATGAGGTAAGCATTTCCTCTTCATATGCTCAGTGCTAACTTTTCAGACATCATATTATAATTGATTATTGATTCTGCTGACTGTTAATGCTATGTTTTGTTATTAGCCTACATATGATGGTGTATTGCAACAGTATAAGGCAAAAAAAATCTTATTAAGAGTCATGTAATGCTGGATGAGATAGTAAGGGTTTACCAAGACCCTTCTCATATGCAAACATGTTATTCAAAGTAGAAATAGCACACTATTATGAATAATCATATATTTCCCTACTCTTCCCATTATCATTTCCAAAGAATTTTGAACGAGATCTCCAAAGGGTTTAATGCCCACCTACCTAATGCTCAAATCTATTAAGTAGAGGGAGTAAGAGTACTACAGCACTTGATACCTTTTATACTTGCATGAAATTCCATGGAATATATCTAAAATAATATGAGTAAAAGTAAAATATATATAGATTCATTGTTTCATCTGCACACAATTTATGTGCTTTATACACCTGGTGAGCAAAGTGTAAAATGGATAGAATTCAACTGCTGAATATACAATTGGCTTAAACTTTATTTTATGAACTGAATATAGCAACAGTAGGTTTTGTTTTAAAGATATATATTCTGTAATTATCTGCTAATTCACATTTTCTAATTTGATATTGCAGTTTTTGTTTTATGAATATTTTGGTTTAGCAATTTTATAGAACTTGAAAGTCTTTTTGAAAGCCATAACCACACTGGCCGGCAAGGTGTTCCAAAGTATCCTCAGTTCTATGATGTACTGTTTGTAAGTTATGTATTTTGAACTTGATTCAAGTTGGGTACATTTGTGAACAAAAACCAAGTGCAAAGCAGAGAAGTTTTTCTTTTTATCACTTTTTTCTGTTGTTTTGCCCATGAAAGGTCCATGGGCATGTCATAATCTATAGAAATTTGTTTCCAGTTTTACAAATTTTTCAAGGGATATTGTGTTTTTTCATGTTGAACAATTATCTCTAGAATTTGGCCCAGATTACCCCACCTCCCCCTTTTCACAATGCTCTCTCTTCTTGGTATAATATTCAAGTTGAAACAATTGTCTTATAAGTAATCACCCCAGTTAATGCTCCCTGAATGGTCAATACATATCTATTCATAAATAGTATTTTTTTTTTTTTTTTTTACCCAGGTGCGCAGCATGAGTGACGAGGTGGCAGCCGCTAAGGCTGCGTCCTCAGAGAGTAAACACCAGCCCACCATTTTCGACAAGATCATTGACAAGTCCATCCCAGCTGACATCGTGTATGAGGATGACAAGTGCCTGGCCTTCCGTGATATCTCGCCTCAAGCACCAACTCATATCCTTGTGATTCCCAAGAAGAGGCTGGCGATGCTCAGCGATGCTACAGAGGAGGATAACTCTGTAAGACATATTTTATGATTGTCTGATTCTGGTGTTGATAGGCAGTGTATGGCTTAAATTTTAAACACTTTACATTATATGGTTTCCAGGAATAGATCAGACTGTCAGAATTAAAGTCATAGAAAATGGTTGATATGCTGATGATAGCTGAGTAATGAAACTGGGTAAAATTTAATTTCACCGGTAAAGAGATGACTTTCAATTTATCAACTTTTTTACCCCTATCTTATGCTTATGAAGAGAATATACATATATGTTCATACATGTATATGAATAATCAAGTAATTTCCTAAATAAGAATTAGTAGTTCGTTCCTAGACTATGGTTTTAATTATCTTGTTTTGATCTTTGTTAAAAAAAAAAAAAATTCAAGAATTTCATTCCTATTTTTTTCCAGCTTCTTGGTCATCTTCTGCTGACTGCAAACAAAGTAGCTGCTCAAGAGAAACTTGACAATGGTTTTAGGATAGGTAAGTGTAATTTGTTATACGAGTAATAGGAAAATGTGTATATCAGTCAAATATATTATATATGTATCTAATCTTGGTGGTTGTACTATTCTGAAAATTTATCCGGGTAATGTACATTGAACAATTTCTCTCATCAGTTTACTCTACAGTTTACTCATTATTGGCCTAAGCACTCCTAACTCCAGTTATAACAAATTTGTAAAGGAGCTTGTCACTGTCTTTAAAAGCTTTAATAGGTCATCATGAGCAAAGAATGTAAACATTCTTTTAAAAAAACAAGGGTAGATTTGAGTCAAAGTTATGGTGTTTATTTATGTTTTTTATTTATTTATTTATTTTTTTGTTTCAGTGATCAACAATGGAAGAGACGGGGCTCAGTCTGTTTACCACCTCCACTTGCACATCCTCGGAGGTCGCCAAATGTCCTGGCCACCTGGCTAAGACAAGGTGCTGGAGAAGCTGCATACAGTCAGGCCACTTTGACATAGATCAGACCCTTGAGATATCTATATGTTAACTGCCATCTATAATCATTTCTGTAATTAATTTTCAAACTTGTGATGTAATCATTTATTCACGGTGCATATTTGCCATATCACCTGTTTGGCTCTAAGATGCAAGTACCTTAGGATAAATACTTAAATCTGCAGGGTAGGCATAGATTTTTGAGCAGTGTTTTCAGTATCAATTATCTTTATGAAATGGCTGTGTAATGAAATCTCCACATTACTTAATTATTGCTTGAGAAGATTGTAGCTGTACTTTGCATACTGATTCACAAGCTAGTGATTTTGCCCCGAAGTTTTAAAGATATTGTAAAGATCACATATCTATAAGTGGCCTACTGTGTAAGCTATTCAGATATTAAATATGATTAGTCACACCAAGCATATTTTTGTTCTACATTTTGTAATTGGTTTAATAATTTAGACTAAATCGTGAAATCATCCACTGTTGATTCTTTTTTGGCAACCTTGAGCATCGATTAACTGTTATTGTGTGTGACTTATTTGTTCCAATAAAGATTAGTAAATATTATGTTTTTGTTACCCTTTCACATTATTACACAAAATTATTATCAGAGGTTCTAGTGCATTGGATAATACAGAGATTCTTATTTGTTTTACTCCTAATAAAATTAAACCAATTTTTCTTTCAGTTGAATTTGGTAGGTATTGTGTGGCCCAACACGAATTTTGTATTAATTCTTGGAAAATAACATTTACCTAGAAGGAAATGCACTTACTGTAGTGTGTTGGTGCTTAGGGGCCTTGTATTAATGTTGTTTAATACAATGGCATAGATAATTAAAATTTTCAAACCGCTTACTTGGATCACCACTCGCCGCGCCCGACACCAAAACAAGACCAAATCCTAACTACACCCCGTAAACAAACCAAGAAACCACAGCTGCGCACCGTTACCGCGAACAAGAGAACAACATTCACTCTCTCACCAACCTAATATTTTGTTATATCAACTCACGAAACCCTGCGACCGATCAACGGGAGATCCCAAAACAGGTTACCACCTTCTATGCAACGCCAGATCGCCCTGCGGCCCATCGCCACTCGCCGGTCTCTCGGCATTCCGTTTTCTATGCCACATCCCTCATCAAGCACTCACCGTTTTCTTTAACACGTAGCCCAACAATTACAAATCGTTACGAGTCCCCCTCAAAAGCTACCACTTTCCTTTCAACCATGTCACAATTATAGATCTCAGAACAGCAGGTGTCTCAGGATGTGTGAAGTTGTGGCCCGCCAGTAATATGGATACATCTCCTTGTCATCTATGGGTCAAATAGACTTGTATTTCCTTTCATTCGTCCTCATTCGCTAATTATAGGAAACAAGTTACATGAATTGGGTCTATCTGCAGGTGTAGGTGTAGTGCATATATTTTCATTAAGGTAGAAAAATGAAGAAAGAAGTAATGTAGTAGTGCTATGCAGAACAAATATGAGATGGGGGGAAAGGAATTGTTTGGGAATGTGGGAAGTTTATTGTCGATTGTAGGAGAGACTACAGGTTAATTAGGATTTGTTAAATTGGATGGCTATAGTGATGTTTTGTCTAGACTGATGTAAAAATACGAGATTAGCCCACAATTTTGGTAACACTGCCCTATTTCTTGGGTGGGTACGGCTTAAAAGTCATGAATTGGTAAGCGAGAGGGCACATGCAGAGTGCACTGAAAAGGCTTAGTCATTTATAAAGAAAAATAAAGCAGATCATGGGATCTGATACGACAGGGCCAGGTTTGAGAAGTAAACCAAGAGAAAAATGCTTTCGTTGAAGGGGATGAAAGAAGGCCTGCCAGTCCATGGGATGAGGACGAGAAACAATACATGAAGGAAAATTGTATCAGTGAATGCTGACAACTCAGAAGAATATGTCAATGTCACCAAAACATAGATATATCCAACATCCTTTCCATCCATTTTCATTGGATATATAAGGTACTGGAAGGTTTAAGGGGGGTATGATGACTGGGGGTACTGATTAGCTAGTGTTTGTCGTCCGGCCTTCCTACGGAAGTACTGTATCCAAATTGAAGATTTGACGTGGCTGAACAGAGCAACCTAATCCTGGAGGTACTAAGAAGGATGTTTCAAAAAGCAAAGAGTTCGCCATCTTGTGTTGGCCAACCTTCTGATGTGGCGAACATGGTCTTTGTGCACAGATAGACAGAATATTTGATATAACTGATTCTATTACAATAAAAGAAAATAGATTCTTTCAATAGTTACAATACAGAATCCATTTGAACTGGCGAGTCTTTTATAAGACATACTTGAAGAAAACTGTAAGAAAATCATATTGATAATGCAATGCAGGAACTCACAGACACACGAATGCACACACCTACATGCATATCTATCCAACCAGCCATATATGTGTATGTATTATGAGTGTGTGAATGTGCGTGTGTAGATATGTATATAATTACGATGTATAATTTATATATATGATGCGTATACACATACATAAATACAAACTTGTATGATATATATAGCTTAAATGGCTTTAAACAGATACGAAAATTACATATGATCATTATCATTATCATACGTATTAATAGTATGAATATTTCCATTTGTGTAAGGTGTTCATAACCTCTTCTTCACAGATTTAGCTACCCATTGATATGTTTGATTATATGAATGTAATGTGCATAATTCATTTTAAAATAATTTTTTAATTGAATCTCTTTTATAGATGTTTGCTCGGTTTACAACACTTTCAGCAACATAAGACAATATTTGAACACAGCTTTGATATCAAAATGTCATGTGGCTATATAACATTTATAATCTGTTTTAGTTTCGCCGATTTTTTTCAAAGCAATTTTTGCTATGAATTGAGTAAACAAAATTGTTAATATAGTGTAAATTATGTTTGTTCATTCTGATTAAAAAAATAATAATTTAGGGGATATAGACTACACAGAAGTCTAAAACCCTATAAAAGAAGAAAGAAGAAAAAGAAAAAATAATTTAATGTTTGGATTTTATAGTTAGAAAAAAAACACTTCGTTTTCCAAATGTAATGAACAAATCAATAATAAAAGGACAAACAATAGTAAAAAAACGAAATATAGTTAAGATATTTATTATGATTATTTACAATGTATTCCGCTTTTGGCATTGAGACAGCAAATGAACATGTAAAAACTTAGTGTGTTATGCAATTACAATGGGTTTGAAAACATACAATGCGAGGACACCATAGCTGTTGCGAAAAAAATATAGATAATATACAAATCCAGTCACGGTTGTTAGCGCGTGGTATTGTTGAGCAGGTCTGTGTTTGGGTTGTGGGTTATAGCCCTTACTTCTTTCGTTAATATTTGTGTCTATAGTCAATGTTCTCTTCTCCCTCTCTCTTTCTTTCTCTATGACTATTTCTCTTGTGTTTTTTTTTGTCTATATCTTTATATTTATTCCTTTACTGTCCTTTCCTCATCAAAGTCCATCTCATCTTGATTCGTCTTTTAAGAAAGCTTCAAAATCACCAACCGACTCACTAATAGTACATGGCATATCAACACGTCATCTTACAAACCAAAACATCTTAATTTCATTCCAAACGTCAACATCAACCATTGATAGCAACCTCTATAATCAATTGCATCTACCTAATCTTCTCACCCAACAGGCAACATTGCAATATACATAAAAAACAACTAATTTTCTTTCAACTGCACCACTGATCTTCTAAGAATCAGAAGCTATAGAATTACCTTAACACAAACACAGACCCTGTGGAGTGAATGATATAAAAACAAATCTATAATATGTATCTTCTTATTCTTATATATATATCTTTTCTTTAGATAAAAAAGAATCCACGAATCAATTATATATCTTTTTGATTATATCTTTAGTAATAAATCTTAAATATACACGATGGTTTTGTCAGATAGATAGGAATTCGGAATATAATGGATAACCAAAAACGATGATTTTTTATCACGTTTATATGATATTTTTTCCCATATATCCTGTTCCTGTATACCTGATTCATATGGCAACACATATCGGACTAAGTCAGTATTCACACTAATGAAATGGATGGAATTCTATGTATATATATATAAAGAGAAATAATAAAAAATGAAACCAAGGGGAGGGTGGGAGAGAATAAATGATAAAATTGGTGAGGAAGGGCGTCAGAAAATAATGATATAATTATAAAGAAAAAAAGAGTCAATACATAACTTGGTCTCAACTTGCTAATGGTTTTCCTTTTTTCATAACATTTTCAGTACAACAACACCTTGTACAAGGACTTACGAACACATTTTATATAAGGGAATGTTATATTTTTTTCTCCTACCCTCAATAACCTATATTTAATTTAGGTTGAAAGGGTAAACAAGCTCAAGATGCATTCATGGCAAGAAGCTCACTTAAAAAAATATTTATATGTATCTCTCTCTATATAAAAAAACAACACTGAACCGCAAAGCAAGTTATTTCATACATATCTCCTTCAGCACCATTTTCTGCAGTGTAAGATGGCCCACTAAGCCTTTTTTTGTCTTAAACTTACTTTTATATTGTCTCTTGGATTCTGCAAGGTCCAACAATAGAAAGAAAAGGGGATTTCACGGAAAATATTTCATGTTCTTTTTCCGTAGAACATCGATCTATATATTTTTCTCACTGTTCGTTTTCTTGTTCCTTTTCTTTCAAGATTATACTTTGTCTTGAAAACGTAGTACCTTTTAAAAAGTTCCTTTGTAAAACTTAGAAAAGATCCACCGATTGTCACTGTCACTTATCATATATATATTTATATATCTTTAAGTACATCAAATATATATTTTGTCTACATACATCAGTATGTAAGAATATTTCATGGCTTGTGCAGCACACGCGAATACATCAAATTTAGACAAGAAAAATAATCATAATAACAATTTTTAAAGAATCTTTCAGAAAGCGTATCCCAAAACATTTGTGGCACAAAAAAGATAACCGACAAAGAGCCATTTTGAATAGCATAAAAATCGCGTCAAAAACAAAAGACAAACCGAAAGCGACGTTTCTCCCTCCCTCGGCAGCACACGCACGGCGGCTCACAACTCCTTCATTCAGCAAACTCCACGACATTCCTCAAAAGAAGGGAATCTGTGTTGCTAGTCCAGTCTTCTGTAACAGCATTTTACGACTCGGCCATCCACTACCGCCCTTGTACACGGGGGTCGTAAGGACGAGATTCCTTGTGAAGACCCTCACTTCCCCTTGTGTACTTGGACTGGCATCGACTAATGGACCGCGTCTCGAGAGCAAACCTTTTGAATCCTGTAGTATAACTCGCAGTAGTTATATAACAGGACAGAGCTGTAGCATGTTAGATACACATATTTACATAAAGCTGCAAGTGAACATTACTGACGAATCAAGCCTATTTGCAATATTATAACAGCATCTGTGTTAATGAGTATGAGCATGTATATATAATATATATATATATTATATATATATATATATAATATATATATTATATATATATATATATGAGGAGACATGGCTGAGAGTTATGGCATGCGACTTGGAAGTCAACAGGTTGGTGACGAGGGCCGGCGGCCGGCGACGGGGGACACCGCCGTCGGTAGGCCCGGGACCGACGGCCCAGCCGAGACGCCCGAGGAATGCTGTGGAGACTGCGTCGCGTGGCGGCTCAAAGGTACTCCGAGTCCTCCTCGAGGGTCGGCTGACGTCAGATGCCCTTGGCCTCCTTGTTCCTGCGGCGCCTGAGCCAGCCGGCCAGGCGGGAGTCCTTGTACATGCTCTGGGACCGGTTGACCTTCTTGCTATCGGGGGCCTCGTTGGCGGGGCGCCGCGGGGGCCGCGGGGGGAGCGCGCCCTTGCTGTTGTTAGCCTCGCCGCGGGCCTCGCGCGCCTCGCGGTTGTCGTACTCCACCTCGTACTTCTCGCGGTAGTGGCGCGGCTTCCACGGGGCCAGCAGCGAGAAGGAGCGCGACACCTTCTTGCTCTGGCGGTTGACGCCGCGCTCGCTCGGGACCTCCTCGGACGCGCGGCGCACCGGGATGTCGGCGACGGCCGTGGCGTGCAGGTACACGGACCGGTTGGAGCCCGTGGACACGCGCGAGGCCTTGGAGGCGCGGGACGCGTGCGAGCCGCCGTGGCTGTCCACCTCGCTCTCGCTGCTCTGCAGGGAGCTGCCGGCCGACCCCGCGACCCCCGAGGGCGGCGATACGCCCCGGGGCCCACTCGTGGCCCTCTTGCCCTTGCCCGCGTTCCGGTGGGCGGACCGCGACGACCGGTTGGGGAGGCTGCGGTAGTCGGGCACGCTGGGGCCCGCGCCGACGCCGTGGCTGCTCTCGATGTCCGTGTCGCCGAAGTAGCGGTGCTTGAAGCTGGTCGTGCGAGCCACCCGGGGCGGGGGCGCCTCCGAGGACGCCGAGGACTCTGCCGAGTACTTGCGTCCCCCGCTGGGTCGCTGCACTGTCGAGAAGCCACTGTTGTCCCCCTGGCGAGCGTCCTTCTTGGCGCGCAACTCCGCGCGGTTGAGCGTCGAGCTCTCCCACTGCGGCGGCGCGGCCGCCTCCGCCGCCTCCTCGTCGCGCTCGCGGTTGAACCACAGCGGTTGGCCCTGCAAGAGGATGGCGTCAGGGGGGTTACATCTCCAGTCCAGCTTACCTGTTATACCACAACCGCACTACACCTGTTATCATCACCATTAGTACTGTAACGGGCATATGTGGGCCTGTGTGTGCGTGAGAATGTGCCTATGTCAGGTTTCCTTGTCGTTGTGGTGGGCGCTCACGCCTCAGCTCGAGTGCACTGCCTACAGCGTTTCTAGACAAGCCACTAATACTCAGCCACTACTATCTGGCCCCCGAGGTTAGAGTGCCACTCCGAGAAGCTGAAAAAAATAAAGAAAAAAAGAGGGACTGAACAAGCACCTGAAGCGAAAGCATCGTGTATGAGTGTATCTGAGGAACACTTGTCTGAGATCCAAGCAGTGAAGTGTTGCGTCCAATCACGAACGAAGGAAAAGCTCAGAGGAAGCAGAAAAAGAAAGTGATGTGATCCTGGAAAAGCAAATCAAATCAAGGCACAGAAGACGGAGGAAAGCCCAGGGGCGAGCAGTGCGGTAAAGCCAAGGGCGCGTGTGTGAGAGGAAGAGCGGGAATGAGGGCGTGAGGGCGCGAGGCAGCGTGGGTGTAGTAAGGAAGGGCAGGTGGGCGAAGGGACTCACTTCACGGCGGATCTTGGAGGCTCGCACACTGGGACGTCGCGGGCGGTGGGAACTGCGGGAGGAGGCGCGGGAGGAGGCCCTGGACGACATCCGCGAGGACCCGATGCGGGACGAGCCAGGACCCGGGGGTGCCGCCCGGGACGCCCCCCGCCCCCCGCCCCCCGCAGCCCAGAAACGCCCACGGCCACGCACGTTTCTTCTTTGCTGGCTTCTTCTTTGCGGGAGTCTGGAGGAACGTGGTGCTGCGTTAGCGGTCAGGGCGCAAGGAGGAACAAGGGAGGGACGCACCGACGCCACATGTCAGGAAAGTGTCCTTCGCGGCCACGGATCCTCCTGCACGCGCTCACGGATTCCAGGTATCCCAGGGACAAGTATCCGGGGGACGGGTACCCGAGGGACAAACCTCCCAGGGACACGTATCCGGGGGACGGGTACCCGAGGGACAAACCTCCCAGGGACACGTATCCGGGGGACGGGTACCCGAGGGACAAACCTCCCAGGGACACGTATCCGGGGGACGGGTACCCGAGGGACAAACCTCCCAGGGACACGTATCCGGGGACGGGTACCCGAGGGACAAACCTCCAGGGACACGTATCCGGGGGACGGGTACCCAAGGGACAAACCTCCAGGGACACGTATCCGGGGGACGGGTACCCCGAGGGACAAACCTCCAGGGACAAGTGCCGGTCGAACGGAGAGGCATCCAAAGAGCACACATCCCCAAACAAATCCCAGAGATCAGAGCGCCACTGAACAAAATCTAACACTGGCCACTTATACATCAGGCTGATTTTGAGGTCAATACATTGCAATACAGTCTATCTAATCAAATATAAATTATTCCATTGATTACAATATTGCCTCTTAATGCAGGAAAGGGACAACCATATCTTTATCTGGCTTATCAAAGATACTTTAATTGCCTTTTCTGTCACAGATGGCAGTGGACGAAATACTGAATGGGAAATGCGTACAGGCCAAGGTAAGGTTCATGACGTAAGTATTACGTTAGAATCGAAAAATTACAAGACATGAATTGATCTAACGTATGTATATATATATATAATAATATATATATATATATATATATATATATATATATATATATATATATATATTCTCCCGATATACAACAAAAATCATTCTCAGCTCTGACTCTCGGAAACCTGGAATCCGTAAATTTTCTTTTTCTTTTTTTCATGTAAGGATCACGTGACCTCAACATTGGTGAGCCGACATGCGGTTAGCCATAGTCATCATGCGGTCATGCAGAGGGTTGGAAACAGGACAGAAAGGGGGGATGGGGTAGGGGAGGGGGGAAGCGGACGATGGGGGGAGTGGGAGGAGGGGAGGGGTCTTTACATTACAGAAAGGGGGGGTGGAACTTTTAAAAATGACTTTAGAATACTCTGACTGATTCCTATGCTTTTGTAAATAATGTATGAATTATATATTCAATAAAAAAAATATATTTTCCATATGAAGATTTCTTTTCTTCAGATAAATGATAGATAAATGAATGACATAGAGTAATGAGAAGGAAGGACAGATTATGAAGAGCTGCAGGTACAACATAGATGGTACAGTGACTGAGGTACCATAAATAAGGTGCCAAAGTTGAGATTATACGGTTTAGGTATATGGTACCTCAAATAAATTTATAGATATCATCAATTTGACGAATTCCTCATATATATTTTTTTTCAGCGATATGTAATAAGAAACTGGAAAATTAATGATATATAACATTAATGGCATGAAAAATATTCAACCTTATATTAAATAACACATGACAAATCTTGATATGATATATCACGTATAATTAAATCAGTAAAAGTATATCTAACTAAACACCTTTTTAATTCAGTTTTTTAGATTTTTATTCGTCTTTTATTCACCCAAACGCAGCGGCGGATCAAAAGTAACGACAACAATAATTATGAAAATAATGACAATCATAATAATATTAAAAATGATGATAATGCTAATATTGTAATCATAATATCAACAACGACAAGAACAGTCATGATAACAGTAACAAGAATAAAGACAATGGTAATTACATTATCACCATAAAAAGCATCAGCATCAGTTGTTTATCTATACTGATTACTATCTTTGTTTCATTACATTTTTTGTAATAATATTTTTTTCTTTGGATCCGCCACTGCTTTACCGAGAACTTACCTTTTCCACATAAAAAACATTTTTAACTAATCTTCATATACATAAAACTTCTAAATAAAATAACTTGCAGACTTCTGAATTGCAAACTTATTAAAAGAAAAAATAATCCTCTCTCTCTCCACTCTCTTCTATCCGTCCTCTCTCCTCTATCTTCCCTCTTTCTCCCCTCTCGAGTCCCTCTCTCCCCCACTCTCTTCCCTCTCCTCCTCTTCATCCACCCTTCCTCTCTTTATCATCCTTTCCTCTCTCTCCCTATCTTTCCTCCACTCCATCCTACCCTTCTCTTCTCTTTTTCTTCCCCCCTTTCTCTTTTTACCTTTCTCTCCTCCCCTCTTTCCTCTATCCCCTCCTTCTCTCACCCTTTCTTTCTTCTCTCCCTCCTTTTCTCATCCCCCCTCTTTCCTCTTCTTCCTCCCCGCCCCTCTCTCCTTCCCTTTCTCCCATTTTTCCCTCCCTCCTCTCTCACTCCCCCTCCAACCCACCTTCTTCTCTCCCTTCTCCCCTGTCTCCCCTCTATCCCACCCTTCCCCTCTCATTTTTACCCTCTCTCCCTCCCTCCACCCACCCCTCTCCCCTTTCTCCTTTCTCCACCTCTCTTCTTCCTCTCTCTCCTCACCTGATTCTTGGCCTTATCCGGGCTGGCGTTCTGCGGGGGGTCGGCTGGGGGGCGGGGGGTTTCTTGCTCGTCTTCACTGTCTTTGTTCCTTGTTCCGGTGTCTTTGTCTTGCTGGGTTTGTTGCGTCCGTCGCTCATGAGGACGGAGAAGAACTTCTTCCTCTGCCTCATAATCTTTTCCTGCTTCTCTTCATCCTGTTGGTGAGGGATTGGTTAGAGGAGGGTGAGGGTGGGAGGAGGAGGGTGAGGGTGGGAGGAGGAGGGGTGAGGTGGGAGGAGGAGGGGTGAGGTGGGGAGGAGTGTGGGTGGGAGGAGAGAGGAGAGGGGGATTGGGTTAGAGGATGGGTGAGGGTAGGGGAGGAGGGGTGACGGTGGGAAGAGGAGGGGTGAGGGTGGGGGAGGAGGGGTTAGAGGTGGGTGAGGACGAGTTGACGGGTGGACATACTCACTTATTACTCATTTATTCACACATTCACTCAATCAGTGTCAATTTCTCTCAGACATACACAGTTATATCGATAATGATTTACCTTTAGTCCATAAATCTAGAGCAAATTATATCATGATTTATATATATATATATTATATATTATATATATATATATATTCATATCTACATATATATATACGTATCTATATCTATACCTATCTATATCTGTATGTCTGCATGTATGTGTGTATATGTATATGTATATCTGTATCTGGTTTCCCTCTCTATCTGTGTGTGTGTCTGTGTTTATCTCTCTCTTTCTTAGCTAGTTTCTTGGGTTTCAGTGATTAACTGACCCTCTCTTTTCATGTTTCTCTTTCTATTCCCCTATCCGTCCCCTTCCCCTTCCCCGCCGCCTTACCTCCGTGTGCGGGATGAGCTCTGCGGGCGGCTGGTCCTCGGGCGCGGGCGGGTCGTAGAGTGGCCCACTGCGGTACTTGTCGCTGAGACTCCTCCCGGGCCTTCCGTCGGGCGAGCCTCGTTCGTCGTTCTCGTCGTCGTAGTCGCCGTCGGGATGCTGGTCGTCGTGGTCGTTGCGGCGCTCGTCCGGCGACTCGTCGTAGGCCGCCAGGTCGTCTCGGGAGCGGGAGCGGGCGGCTCGCGGTTGCGGTTGTCGCGGGAGTCTCGGGAGTCCTTGGAGTCGCGGCGCTTCGTCCCGTAGCCGTTGTGGGCGTCGACGGACACCTCCCTCGTCTTGGTCTCGCGGACGTCCCTGCTGCTGTGGCGCACCTGCCGCGGCGTCGTGTCCAGCCGCTCGCGCGACCGGTCCAGGTGCTCGCGAGATCGATCTAGCCGCTCGCGCGACCGAGCCAGCTGCTCGCGGGACTTGCTCAGCTGCTCGCGCGACCGGTTCAGCTGTTCCCGGGAGCCTCGCCGGTCCCTGAGGGAGGTGGTATCCTCCAGGACGTCGGGAAGGCCTCGGCGAGGGCGGCTGTCCTCCCGCACCTCCTTCTGCTCGCTGCGGTGGTACTCGTCGCGCTGCGTCCGTTCGTGGCGGAACTCGTCCTTGGCGTCGTCCGGACGGCGCTCGTCGCGCGCGACGGCCGGTCTTCGGACGAGGACCCGAACTCGGTGAACTTGGCCAGCGGGTCGACGTCGGGCTCGTCCTGCGGGCGCGGGTCGTAGAAGAACTTGATCTTGATTCGCTTCTTCTTCTTTTCCTTCTTCTCCTCCTTCTGCTTCGAGGCCTTCGCCGCGCGCTCCTTCTCCAAGTTGTTCTTCCTGTTCCTCCCATCATCGTGGCGCGGTCTTTGCGCTGCTCTCGGGGGCGGGACGAGGTGCCCTCCCTGTGGGCACGTGTGGGCGTGGTCTCCCTGTGTCCGCGTGTGGGCGTCGCCTCCCTGGGAAGGCGCGTGGGCGTACCTTCCCTGTGTCCGCGCGTGGGCGTCGTTTCTCTGTGCCCGCGCGTGGGCGTCGTTTCTCTGTGCCCGCGCGTGGGCGTGGCCTCACGATGTCCACGCGTGGGCGTCGTTTCCCTGTGGCCGCGGGTCGGCGTCTGCTCCTGTGCCCCTGGTGGGCGTCGCCTCGCGGATGGCGTGGTTCTTCTCGCGCGGCGGCTTCTGCGGCCGCGGCAGGCTGTCCTTGTGCGGCTGCGAGTGGACGCGCTCCGTCACGGTCTCGCTGCGCCGCGAGCGGTGGTTGGTGGTGCGCGTCACGGAGGTGGACTGCGACTGGTTGGACACCACGAGCGACTTCTTGCCGGTGTCCTCCATGACGAGGCTGAGGGCGTCCACCTCGTCGATGGTGAGGGGCATCATCTCCTCCGGCCGGTAGGGGATGACGCCGCTCTCCTTGATCCGATGCGGCCGTTCCTCGCTTCTTCTTCTTCCTCCTCCTCCTCCTGCAGCTTTTCCCTGCATCACCTGGTCTCGGATTCTGGCCAGCGGGTCCACCGTGCGCCGTCGGTGCTCGGCCTCGGAGTCGGACGTGTCGAGAGCAGCGGCACGACGTTCCGGCGCGGCTGGCGGGTCTGCGGCCTCCTGAGCGGCGGCGAGGGCGAGCGGTCCGTGCGCCCGAAGCCGTGGTTCACCTGCCGCACCAGCGTCGCCGACGTCAGGTTGTTGTGGATGTTGCCTCCCGCTGGTGGTGCTTCGAGCTCGGTAATGGTCCGGCTCGCGCTCGTAGTGGTAGTTCTGGTGGTGCTTCTGCTCGTTCTTGATGTGCTGCGTCTTCACCTGGTACTGCTTCTGCTGCGACTGGTGCTGCCGCGTCGGCGAGGGGACGAGCTCTTGTGTGTCTTGCGCGACCTCGACGGCGCCTTCGGCAAGGCGTCCGTCTGAACGCCGACAGACGACATGTTGATGTTGTTGTTGGACTGTTCCTTGTATTCCTCCAGGAGGTCCTCAGAGCTGAGCATGCGCGCCGGCATGATGTCCTCGTGCAGGAGTCTCTTGATGTTGTCCTCCGGCACCTGGTAGCTCTCGTAGGCGTCGTCGTCCTCCTGGTAGTGGTTCTTCGCGTCGCGGAAGTGGTCGTCGTACGGGTCCTGGAACGGCCGGTGGTCGTCGTCGGTGATGATGATCTTGGCCGAGTACTCGCGCTCCTGGCGGGCGTTGCGGTAGTTCCTCTCGGCGTCGCGCGCGTCCTTCTTGTTGACTTGAGCATAGACGGGGGCGTCCCTGGGCGGGGAGTCGCGCGGGGGGGAAGCGCGGGGCGGCAGGTCCCGCGTGGGCGAGAGGCGCCGCACCGTCTGCACGGTGGCCATCGGGAGGCTGCCGGTGTAGCTGAAGGGCTGGTTGTTGTTGTGGTTGCGGAAGCGGTCGGGCTCCAGCGTCCCGCGCGGACTCACGTCCATCTCGGTCTCCAGCAGGACGTTGGAGTGCCGCGTCCCGTCGGACTCCGCGTTGAACTTCTTGATGATGTTCCCGACCTTGTTCTTGTAGGGCTTGGGCCGCGACATGTCCGCGTCGTCGCTGTCGGAGAGCGTCGTGCTCGGCAGGTGACCCACGGACTTGAAGCCTTGCAGCCGCCCGCCGCCCACCTGGCTGTGCTCGGTCAGGTTGTCCACGGACTTGTAGCCGGCGCTCTGTGCTCGGTTCAGCTTGGCGCCGTGCTCATCCCGCTCGTAGAGGGCGTCGATCGACTTGTAGCCGATCCGCGGTCCGGGTCGCGCCCCGCCAGGTGCTGGTACTTGTACGACTGCGCCTCGTTGTTGTCGTAGTAGACGGCGTTGAGGTCGGGCACGGACTTGTGGCCGGCCAGGGGGTGCGGGCGGCGCGCGAGCGGGGGTGAGTCCAGGTCGGAGTCCGGCAGGTGGTCGGCCGAGCGGTGGCGGTGCGCGAGCGGGCCGCCGTTGGGCAGGGGGGAGGGGGAGGGGTGCGCGGCGCGGTTGACGTCGCCCTTGACGCGGCGGTTGATGGGGTTGGCGGTGCGCGCGGGGGCAGCGTGCGCGGGCGCCCTCGCGGCTCGCCGTTCAGCACGTTGGTGTTCTTGGGCCCGGCGTTGTTGCGCACGTTGTTCACGATGACGTTGTTATAGTGGTGGTGCGCGAAGTTCTTGTTGTTCTTGTGCTTGGGCGGTCGAGCGAGCGCGTGTTGTGCGCGAGCGCGCGCCGGCCGTGTCGCAGTTGACGTGGTCCAGCAGCTTGACGAGGTCCTCCGCCTGCTGCTCCAGCTCGCGCGACGACAGGTTCACGGGCTCGCGGTGCACGGCTGCGCAGTGCGCCCACTCGTCCTCCTGCGGCGCGCGCACCAGGTTGTTCTTGATCTGCTGCTGCTTCTGGCCGCGTGGGATGTGCTTCACGCCCACGTCCTTGTTGAAGGACACGCGCTTGTCCGAGCGCTCCGACTTGAGGGACTCCGTGCGGACCACACGGGCGTGGTTGCGAGGCTCGGGCGGGCCTGCGGGCCGCACCATGGGCATCGTGATGGGTGCCTCACTCGCGCCCGCGCTCGTACGCCCACGCCCCATATCACGACGGGGACACACTGCGGCGACACATCCACGTCCGGCTGCGTCGGCGGGCGGCTCACTGGCGGCTCGGGCGTCCGTCGGCCAGGCGCTCCTGCAAGAGAAACAGCGATTAGGCACGGCATGGGCGCGCAGGAGGGCAGTCCTCCCGATTCCCGGGTCGAAACCGGGTCCCAGATGCGTCATGCGGCGTGGGCGGCGCCCCTTGGTGTAGGCCGACGCCCGAGGGCTGGGTGTTGGCGGCGCCGGCGCTGCCGTCCACGGGCGGCGGCGCAGAACACCTTTTTGCGGTGGCTGGAATGCGTGCCCGCTTTACTGATTACCCGAGGCATGTTTCTGAAATAAGGATGACCCGAAATCCTGCCTCCGCAATACTAATTTCCCCAAAACCAATCTATGGAAGACTGCAACGCTCGCCCTCATGCGAACCACAAGCAGGGTGAGGCCGTGAAGACGCCGCTATGACTTGCTTAGTCACGCAGACTTGGTATTTAAAGACAGAGCCTTCGTAGTGTATTTCTTTCAGACCTGTAGACATGACATCAACCCTTTTCGGAAATAATTTCAATCCCGTAGTCCTGATCATTAATACTTTTTTTAATATCATCCCTTTTCTATTATTTGCCTCTCTTCTCCATATCTTTCCATATCTCATATAAGTCAATAAATAGAAAAAGATAAATAAATAAATAAATGACCACAAAAACCAACACTCACACACACACACACGCACACACACACACATAATCACACGCATACACAGCATATCACTGTCATCACATTAGGCCGGAGATGTGAGAAAGAGAGCAAAACACCTCCGTTATGACACGTAATTATATAGAAGGGAAGCGTCACTGCCAAAACACTTTTTTTTTTTTTTTTTTTTGAGCCTCCTGTACCTCTCTCCCATTCCCATCCTCTTCAACTTCATCCTTCTCCTCCTATCCTTCCTTTTCCTCCCTCCTCCTCTTCCCCTTCGCCGTGCCACCGCCTTCCTCCATACCTACCACCCCCCTGCCCTGCTTCTCCTCCCTTCACTCCCTCAACGCCCTCCTTACTCCTCCCTCCTCCCAACTTC